CACGGTCTCTCCTGCCCGGGCTGGCTTTGAACTGCGATCCTCAGATCTCAGCCTCCTGAGTAGCTAGGATTACAGGCGTGAGCCACCAGCGCCCGGCGGGTTATGTTCTTATAATGTCTTTCTTCCCCAGGTGTGCGCAGTGTTGATCCCAAGACTGGCAAAGAGATTATGTATGAACTGGAATCGCTCATTAACTCTGCAGTATTCCCAGGCCTGCAAGGGGGTCCCCATAACCATGCTATTGCTGGTAATGTGTCACCAAACCAACCCAAAAACCATCAGATGCTATTCAAGTTACTCAGCTATGCATGTTCATAACTTGTACAATGCAGAAGTCATCCTGTGGTTCCTAATTTCCACCTTACCTATCCTCCAAAGCATGTATGTGCCAGGTCCTCTGCACTGGGATAGGGGACACTCTGTCCAGGAGATACTACGTGGAAGAAAAGGCAGGTGGTTGAAAATGGCATAATGTTGGGCAGGAGGGAAATGTCTGCTCCACTCAAGTGGCCACCATCAAGCAAACCCCAGGTGTCAGTCTGAGTTTTGTGAAGAATATAGAGCTTGCCTTCTTTGAGGAGAAATCTTACATAGCAGAAGGCTTAACAAAGGGTGAGAAGCTGGATGCTGGTGGCTCCCACCTGTAATCCTAGCTTCTAGGATAGTGAGATCTGAGGATCATAGTTCAAAGCCAGCCCAGGCAGGTAAGTCCATGAGACTCTTATCTCCAATTAACCACCAGAAAACCAGAAGTGGCACTGGTGGCTCAAAGTGGTAGTGCACTAGCAAAAGTATGTGTCTTGTTTTTCCTTTGGTAACTGTTTTGGTACTGAGTTTCCATGCCTGGAGAACAGCTTCCCAAGGTAGTCTCCTCAGAGCCTTGCTCAGTAAAGTCTACAGATTTAACCAGGAAATCAGGGTTAAGGCAGCAGGGCTGAGAACATGGCTTAGAGGGAAGAGGGTATGTTTATCATACACAAGACCTGGGGTTCCATCACCAGCACAGAGAAGAAAGGATAATACTGTCACTGGTGGGGAAAATGGAATCTTCAGCCTGTTGGATGATAATGCATCAGCTTTGGATGATACAGGGCTACTTTTGTTTTCCCTTCTCTCAGCCCATCCTGTCCTGCCTTGCTGACTTCTTGTCTCTCTGTTTAGGGGTTGCTGTGGCCCTGAAGCAAGCCATGAGTGTGGAATTCAAAGTCTATCAGCTGCAGGTCGTAGCCAACTGCAGGGCTCTGTCTGAGACCCTCACAGAGCTGGGCTACAAAATAGTCACAGGTACAAACACATGGTGGTAGGCAGCCCTACTTGCTTTGTGGGTGGTACGCTGGAATTTACCCCTCAGTTCTTCTGATCAGGATGTGGTCTGTGGATGTGGCTAGGGGCTCTGGGCACTGTCACCACTACTCTGATGACTTGGGCCTCCTCAGGACAAAGTCAGCAAGCCTCAGAGGACCTGCTTTGTGGTCTCTTCCTTCCTCTTGCCATACCAGCTGCCACTGGCAATCAGAACAGCTTTATCCCAGGGCACCTGAAGTTCACCCAACAGAGGTCAGGCAGAGGTCACATTCAGCTGTCAAACATTTGATAGGTGGCAGGGCCAGTCCTTGCTTGTGTGTATGTGTGTACACGCGACTGCACATGCGGTCTTTGAGCTCTCACTTTTTCACTCACAGCTGGCACTCTTACCACTTCAGCTATTATTTCAATTCTGCCAGCACCCTCTATGGAGAAGCCTTACACTGTCCCGCAGATGTGTGTCCTTCCCCTGAGATCAGGGCTTAACAGGCACTTACTGCTGGAAAGAAGGCCCAGATTGGCTGAATTTTCCCAGGCACTGGCTTGCTAGAGCCTTTAAAAGAAATCATACTGGAACTGGCTAAGCATAAGGTAGACCCAAAAGCAGTAGGGCTAATTGATCATGGACTAGAACCTGTAAAACTGTGAGACCTAAACCTTTTCTCTGTATAAGCTAATCAACTAAGCTGATAGATGAGGATAGGGATGGGAGTTTGTGGTAGTTCACAACCACTCAACCAGGAAGGCTGGAATCATGCCACCACAAACCTAAAACACCTCCTGTCAAACCCTACCTCTTACAGTTCCACCATCTCTCAATGTCACCAAGATCCAAATCAAAACATCATCTGTACCACTTTGATAATACAGGTTACATATCCCTAATCCCGAACCTGAAGCTTTCTAGCACTGACAATGATGCCTTAAAAGATCTGGATTTAAGTCGGGGATGCTCAACTAGTAAAGCTTAACAAATACTCCAAAATATGAAAAATACTAAGGTCTAGGATTTGACCCTAGCATTTTGGATAAGGGATGCTCAGTCTTCACTGTCACCATTACAGAGTTTGGCATCAAGTGAGTGGCAGGCTAGCACTGTCTGGAACAAAAATATATCCTATAAATGTGGTCCTTACTTCATCAGTGCAGTAAATGAAACCCCTGCCCTGGTGCTGCTTTGAAGGGAGCCTATTATATTAGCATTAGAGGAGCTGAGGTATGGCTCAGTTGTAGACCACTTGCCTAGTATTCACAAAGCCATGGGTGTGTTGCATCCCCAAAAAAGATAAAAATAAAGTCAGCCAGGCAATGATTGCTCATACCTATAATCCTAGCTATTCAAAGGCTGGCATCTGAGGATAGTTGTTTGAAGTTAGGCCAGGAAGGAGAGTCCTTGATATTCTTATCTTCAATTAACCACCAAAAAGCTGAAGTGGAGCTGTGGCTCAAGTGGTAGAGCGCCAGCCTTGAGCACAGAAGTTCAGGGACAGTGCCTGAGCTCTTGAGTTTAAGCCCTAAGAGCAGCATGATGATGATGATGATGGTGTCAGTGCCAGAGACTCAAGAAGTTCCCGAAGCACTTGTAGAGAAGTTGAGAGGAAACTAACCCAGACACACTTTGGCCTGGCAGCACCGGTATGTTGTGCCATGGGCAGTCTGGAATACAGCAGCTGCTAGATGTTTTACCTAGCAACCCAAGTTCTTCTGTTCGGTCATTTGCCTCTTTTTACAATGGCTCTTCCTCTCTAGTTCCTAGGCCAGGAGCTTTGTTTTCACAGGTTGTTAATGTTCTGGCCCACACAGTGGGTGCTCATTTTCCTGACTTTGTTTTTTTTTGGTTTTTTGGGTCCGGTCATAGGGCCTGAACTCTGGGCCTGGACGCTGTCCCTCAGCTCTTCAGCTCAAGGCTAGCACTCTACCACAGCGCCACTTCCGGCTTTTTTCTTTTTGCTTCTGTGGTGCTGAGGAATCGAACCCAGAGCCTCTGGCATGCAAGGCATGCACTCTACCACTGAGCCACTTTCACAGCCCCTCATTTTCCTGACTTTGGCCTTGCCTCCTCCATCCCCTGCTCACATTCCTCTGGAAGAAGTTTCCTTTACCTGGTGTAGTCAGCCTTCTGCACTCCACCTTCTCAACTCCATCTTCAGGTGGTTCTGACAACCATTTGATCCTTGTGGATCTCCGTTCCAAGGGTACAGATGGTGGAAGGGCTGAGAAGGTGCTAGAAGCCTGTTCTATTGCCTGCAACAAGAATACTTGCCCAGGTAAGACTCCTTCATGGTTTTCCCTCCTGCCTTGTTCTTGTATGGCCAGACTTGTAGCTGTTGAAGCTATTTGGCTGGTGGGAGACATCTAATGAGGGCACTGATCTTGGGCTCTCTCCCTGTCCATTCCTGCAGACCTGGCCCACAGCCTGCAGGGAGCAGAAAAGGAAAGGCTTAAGGAGCACAGCTGTGAATGAGATAGTCAAGGTCTCTTGAAAGCAGACAGCATCTCTTGGTGTTATGTTGGCAACCCAGCTTAGACCTAGGCAGATGTTGTTCTCCTCTGTAGGAGCAAGAGCCACACTACAGACTACTTTGCATACTGTTAGCACAGTTGCTCACACTAATGCACCTCTAGTTTTTAAGTCAGCTGTATGCTTGCCAGGATCCTCATGTCAAGTGTTTTACCCAAGTGTCCCTTTTTAAATGCAAAGTAGCCACAGTGGTGTATTGGATATAGCTTATCAGCCCTGTTTGTCTTAAAGGTGACAAAAGTGCCCTGCGGCCCAGTGGACTGCGACTGGGGACCCCAGCACTGACTTCTCGAGGACTTTTGGAAAAAGACTTCCAAAAGGTAGCACACTTTATCCACAGAGGTAAGGATCTGTATTTGGAAGTCTGGCAGGTTACTGTCATGCCTAAGATTATCTAGTGTGCCTGAGTGGCTATGATCCCTGCCACTGAGGAGGGCTTTCTGCAAGACTTTTCTAGCAAGACTTTTTTTTTTTTTTTTTGGTCAGTTATGGGACTTGAACTCTGGGCCTGGGCGCTGTCCCTCAGCTCTTCAGCTCAAGGCTAGCACTCTACCACTTGAGCTACAGTACCACTTCTCGTTTTCTGAGTGGTTTATTGGAGATGAGAGTCTCACAGGCTTTCCTGCCTGGGCTGGCTTTGAACTATGATCCTCAGATCTCAGCCTGAGTAGCTAGGATTACAGGTGTGAGCTACTAGTGCCCAGCTTCTAGCAAGACATTTTACCTGGGAAGTTTATGCATGTGTGCTGCCTAGGGACACTACATACCGAGTCACTTCTGAGGGGTAAATTGACATCCATAAAGTCACTCCCACTGGGGCTGGGAAGGTGGCTCAGTGGCAGAGCGCTTGCCTTGCATGCTCAAGGCCCTGGGCTCGATTCCTCAGCACCACATAAGCAAAAAGAAAAAAGCCGGAAGTGGCGCTGTGGCTCAAGTGGTAGAGCGCTAGCTTTGAGCTGAAGAGCTGAGGGAC